AACAACAAAAATCAATAAAGCAGCGCGGAAATTTATTTTGACTAGAATCACCTGATCCTGCTGTGATTAATGCCTTCGCCAGGAGTTAGCCCGCTTAATTTATACCCAACGAAAGAAAGCCGTCGCTTTTTTTAAAAAAAAGCACCATGCGATTCCAAGCTTGCATCACTGAAAGTCTCACAAAACACTGTACGTGCACACGTGCAGCCCTTTGTGTCAATCAACTCCCGAGAGTGGTCACCTTCCCACGGGAGTGTTTTATTTCTCTTCTGATATACTTCACCACGCCGGTCAATGATGGTCGACGAAGGCCGGGAGCATAGACCCGGGAGAGTAACGTTCAGTACAACCGTGGATGTGGCTGCACTTCCCTCTGCTGCTCCGACCACGCAGCGTAGAGCAAAGTGCGGTGCATTGTGGCCACCCATTGAAGCACTGACCAGCCTCAAACATTTGTTTAAGCTTCCAACATCTGATGAGATGGGGGCACTTTGACGCGCAGGCTTTCCGCGATCAATATCATCCGTAATAGTTTTTTTTTGGGGGGGGGGGGGGTTAGATCGCGTCAATATATCAATGTGTCGTTAAATCCACCACCACCCGACACAGCCAATTAGTAACATTTGTCACTTAAGCAAAATGTGCCAATTCGTTAGATATGGCGCATTAGTTCAGGGAAATGTGTTCATAGGAGCACTAAATGCCAGGTTATAATACATGGATTATACTAGCATGACTTAAGTGCGCAAAAGTCTGGCTTTTTAAAGGTTGCCAACTCGCCCGCAAACTGCCTTTTCAAATATTATTCTACAGACATCCCATTATTGCATGCAGCTCAGACACCTTCGTGGTTTAAAGCAATTTCCTTTTTTGCGGGAGGGTAAAATAATCAAGGGCATTTGCCTGCACAGCAAATAGCCCCGCTGCTTCTGAATTCAATTACACCGTGCCAAGCATCACGCGTCACGCTACAAACAGAGGATTTCCTGTTTAGCAGACAAGACACGATCGTGAACGATTTTGAGCCGTTTCTCTTCCAGTGGCGTGGGGCTCGCTGCGTCGCCATTGGCTGATGGGCGACGCAGAGAAGAAGGAGACCACTAATGTCGTGCCATGTGGCAGCTCTGACAAGAGAGAGAGAGAGAGCCAGAGACATATATTTACATTTGAAGACAACAACAAAAATGAACGCCAGTTGTCATTTTTCAATTGGACATTGCACCCTTTGCTCGTCCGCGCTCAAGTTGCTCCGCGTTTTTATTTTATTCAACTGTGTGCGTTGAGGGGGGTGGGGGGCGTACCACCCTGTAAATCCATCCACCTTTTTAACACGTAGGCTTTCGCGACCAATATTATAAGTCAGGGGTTGATGGGTCGCGCAAAGAAACACGACCACCGTGCTGCGAGTCCCTCGGCCTGCCGGGGCTCAGGGAGCGTCCAGTCGGCGCGGATGACAGCGCAGCGAGTTGCGTTTGAGTGCGAGGTACAGCAAGGTGAAGGCGCAGCACTGCAACTTCTCGCCGATGTCACTGCTGGCACAAGGGTCCTCAAGTGAGGACCCTTCGATTGGCACCGTTGGCTAACGTACGGCGCGAAAAGAAGTTCAACATAGGGGCCGTCCATAAATGACATCAGGCACCTGGGGGGGGGGGGGGGGGGTCAGACATTTGTGACGATGTGTGACGAGGGTGGGTGGGGGGGGAGGTGAGAAATGTGACGTCACATCAAAATGCGCAACTTTAAATACATATAGACAACAGGTTCTACTTGATTAAATAGACTTTTTAATAAATGTTTTCTCCTACAACATCAGAGTGCAGCGCCACATTAAATACACACTACAATGACAATAGTTTAAAGCGATTTGAAACACATTCTTAGCTCTTTCGGTAAAGTCACGTTGAAGGGAAACAATAAAATAATAAAAAATATATAAAACAATAAAAATTCTCACGACGTTTCGACCATAACACAAACGGTGAATTACTGCAGTCACGAAAGCTTTAAATCAAGATTTGAAACATGTTTCATTTTCAAAATGGAAATATGTGTTTTTTTTGGGGGGGGGGGTGGGGGGCAGAGCTTTGTGACGTCATATTTGAGGGGGGGGTCTGACTTTTTGTGACACCGGGTGACAAAGGGGGGGGGGTCAAAAATCGTCCAAAATCGCGTGAAGTCATTTATGGACGGCCCCATCCATGCATACTTAAGGACGCGCCTAGAGGGCGTTTGGCCGAATCTGCTACACCGGCAAGGCATCTTGGAAGCGGAGGAAAGTACCCACGTTTTAAACTGGCCATTGTTTCAACTGCCACGTGAAGAGATCGAATCATACCGGTGACCTCTGGATTGCACCTCCAGTCTGGATAACCATTACATCACGAAAGCATCCATTTCCATGTTACGCCCCTTGTATATGCGAGTGTTTTCTTCTTCTTCTTTCAGGCACTGTGGTTTCGTCCCGCATGCAACGCACTCGTTTAAGGAATCGTCCATGCATCCCAGTTACAGAATCCTACTGAATAGAGTCCCTGGGTTCAATGGGACAATTACAATCCCGCTCTTGCTCCTCGGCATTGTTGTTGGGAGAGTTTCGCTGGGGGGCTTCGCACTTGATGTTAAATGTACACGAAGCAGAAACAATTTTCGTGAGTGTCCCTAAAAGAAATAATGCCTTTCTACCCGGAATGCATCTGATCCCCTGAGAACTCGGAAGCTGAGCAAGTTTGAGCCTGGTCGGTAGCTGGATGGGCAATCGCCTTGTATAAAACGGGTGTTGTAGGTGTTGTGAGCAATTGAAGGACAGTGACGAAACACAACCCATCATCCATTAGTTGTTCTTTGCTCTCCTCACCTTCACCAACCCGCACTGGTCAACGTGGTGAAGTTTTTTTTTAAAAGTAATCAACGTAATAAAAGCGGGCAGAATCCAATTTTTTTAAAATAAATATAAATGGGAATGAACCCCACTTTGGCATTTGGTGATGGCACGGCAGTCACTTAACGCACGGAGTGAGCTGGGGCAGCCTCATTGCATTCCCGAGTTCTCTACCCGGTGAAGCTCAAAGCAGCCTGAGCCAATGTCGTTCCCACGTTGAGGCTGAATTCAGTCATAGGAAGTCTTCAGCTACCGGCGAGGAGCTTTTAACATTCACGATTTCATCAGGACATTGGCCACGTATTAAATAATATTTTTAAGTCAACGTGAGAATATTGTCGGTTTAATGACAATAATTTTTGCCAAAAATTACGTACTGCCACGTGGCCTAACTCAAACACAACAATGTATCGTGGTGAAGTATGGACAAATAACCCTCACTGACTGCTCTGTTGTGGGGAGAATCATCCAGCAGTGGACGGACAAACACAAGCTGGACACGTGCTGCACGACTTACATCCTGAGGGGGTTATAGAAAGGCAGTGCTATATTTAGAAGTGGCGATAACAGGTAAATCTAGTCTAGACAGATGAACAATACCCTCTGATCCATGGGGATAGTTTTTTTTTTTATAAAATAAAATATTGTTTCAAAAAGTTGTACGTGTGCGCAGATCAGGGAAACTTTGTTTAATTAAATGAAATTCAAGCTATGAGAATCACCTTATCAGGGACCTGGCAGAATGTCTACAAGGCCCGCCAATATATTTGGCTGTGATCAATGTTGGGTTTATTTCAGTAAAGCTTTGCAGCACACTGAGCCAGAAAAGCCAAGTACAAGATGCAGTAGATTCTTTAATATTACTAATGGGAGGTGGACCCCTGGTTCAGATGGCAGCGACATGTGCGAGCAACTGCTGAAATCCTTGATTCGAACTAGGCAGTCACCAACCATGATTAAACCAAGCGTGGTAAGTCTCAAGTCCTGTCACTAATTTATTGTTTCAGGTAATTTGGCAAATTTTCAGCCCTGGGAATTTAAAAAAATATAAGTTTGTCTCTCATGCGACAATCATCACTTTGATGCATTATGGAAATTGTGTACAATAAGTGATGGGTCCATGCAACCCCATCGAGTCACAAGAGGCTGCTAAATTCACTACAAAAGCAAGGGTATTGAGATTATTGGCTTGAATCGTGAAACTTATCAAATTACCGGGGATGGAAGGGGTGGGGGGGGGGGGGTTGGATTGAGGTTTGCGGAGGGGGGGGGCTTGGCGTTGGTTTTAGTTTTGGGGGGCCCTCAGTCTAGCTCAATTAATCTTTTACCACGACCCATGCCGATACCAAACACTCGATTGGTATATTCACCTGGGTCATTTCAGTTCCCGCTTTAAAGCTTTAAATGGGTTATACAAATCGTAACGCTAAATCAAAGTTAAAATAAACAAAAGTATTTGAATTTTGGCACATGGTAATGCACACAGTGATGCATTAGATTTAATTAACAAATTAGCCATGGGACGTATCATAATGCATGTCACCTATTATAAAGCGGTATATACAGGGTGGCCGAAAAGTCAGGACACAATTGGTTATTAATTAATGTGTGTTAACACTGGCATTAGAACATTTTATTTAGTATGCATTAATGTTAACGGAAGCCGGTTTTAATTATTTATTAAGATATATGAAATAACCCTACGTGATTCAAACTTGATTTGGAGCTTTCGTGACTGCAGGAATTACTCTTTGGTTCTTTCGGTAAAGTCGGGTAGAAAGAAAAGTAAATTTAATAATAGCATACGACGTTTCGATTACAACGCAAGCAATCATCATCAGGTACGTACCTGATGATGATTGCTTGTGTTGCAATCGAAACGTCCTACGTGATTTGTCCAAATAAATATAATAACCCGGTGTCCTGACTTTTGCTCGACCCTGTGCATTGCCCCCCTCTTCAAAATCCAAAGTCTCTGACTGCAGCCACTAAAGCCCCCGCGTGAATGCGGCCCTGCAGGTGCGGGAGCACGAATGGGGCGCATTTTGTTCTATTGCGGTCGCGTAACTCGCAGTGTCGATACATCTTCATTTTTTCTCATGCGTCAATGTATCGTTCCCAGGTTCCTGGGGTGAGAAAGTGATTCCAGACCCTTTCATGGAAGACTGCAGTTGATGGAGAGAACTTTGCCCCTCTCCACGAAGTGTCAAGCTCAAGAGAAAACGCTGCGGTTAAATTATTTGGCCGATCTCGCTTGGGCTCATACCTGCTTTGACAGGGCCTGCGCTGGAGCTCGATGAGCAAGCCCCAACTCATGACTGTTACTGTAAGTGTAACATTCAATCTGTGTTGGAGGTGGTGGTGGCACACGCCCGTGTGGTGGCGATTTGGAGGTGGGTTTTAGTGGATCAGCAAGAGCTGGTTAAGTTCGCTGTGCTACGCTGTGAGATTCCCAACCAAATAGGGATTACGAGGTGGCCGATAGATGGCAGCACGGAGAGACGATTGCTGGCTTGTTTGCGAATGAGAGAGTGTTAACACACACTCATATTAAGCGGTATACTTTGAGTAGCCACGTTCACCAATACTCAATACTGTACATTAAATAAAACATTGCTCAAACATTCCAATGCAAGACCACCTACCTGTCCCATTTAGAAACAACGTGCGTTTATAGTATTTGGCTGCTATACATTTGCACGTGATAATCCACTGCATTGGGCTATCGTCGGTGGCCAGGTCGCTTCTAAAAAAACAGCTATATAGCTGTGGGCCTTACCTGATAAAAACAAAGTTTCGTTTTAGTTTTTTAGTCCCCCCCCCCCCAGGGTAGATCCTTCATTAACCTATAAATTAATCTGGAATCAGACGTGGCTTATCCTGCTGCTTCCCCCAGGTAAATATCCCATCAGCAGGTGTCCGTCCATTAATACGGTGAAGCTCCTGCTCCTCCTATCCGTGACTCCTGTTATCGGAAATCCTCATATAATCCGTGAAAACGCCTCAAATCACGGACAAATAGATGATAATATTCGTTGTTTTTTTACGTGAATAAGAAACACTTCACCCCTAGAAGTTCTGCTCGAAGCAAAAGTTAATCTTGGTAGTGTTATTGGGGATTATTGGTCTTCTAAAATGTGGTCACATATCTAAAATCAATCCTTCTATTCGTTTTTTTCTTGGATAGGAATCATGGTGCCAAAAACGTATCTCCTTATCTGCAGAATACGTTTATGAAAGAGGAGTGACGGGCCTTACCTGGTAAAATAAATAGAAAATAGTTGAGTTTTTCGTTTAAGTGAATATTAATCCGGATAAGAGGGTGTCCACTGCACCGAGTGTCACAGGTTCTGTCTGCCCTGTGATATATGTACAGTATAACCAAAGCCCCATGTTGCTTTATTGGAGGCGACTCAAGATTGTCTCTACTCCTGTAAATACAAATAATTAAAAGTTTGCCGGCACTCATTCATGCGCAATTGTAGGCGACACATATATAAAACAAATAATAAACCTTTTGCGTGTGCACATAGTTGTGAAGCACTTACAATAGAGGATGATCAAATCAAACGTTTGAAAGCTTTTGAGAAACTGAAGCTGCTTTTAATTTGGTTTATTAGCTTAGCAGATGCCGTTAGGTCGACGGCATATATACATCACGCGCAGTATACGTTTAAATGAGCAATGGCCAAATGTGCAATTTTGTTGAGTGTATGTAATGGATGGCACTTTTGTCTGCAGATGGATCTTGCTTCGGGAAATTCGTGCCGAGCGTGTCCTACATCGCTAACACTCCCATTTGTTTCAGAGTCAAGGTGAAACACTGCGTGAAGAATCCATCTCCTATGCTATGTTGTATCGTCAGTCCGGCACCCAACAGTTTGCAGACAAGATTTTGTTTGCAATTCCAAACACTAAACATACGTACCAGGAATGAGTTTCTTCTTTAAAAAAATGTTTTATTAGTTTTCCAGATGACTTACGCCCAATTGCATATACTTTTTTTTGAATTATTGGAGTAATTAAATTGATTACTTTATAGTCTGAATCACTATGTACCTAATCCAATAAAAGTATAATTACTTAAAATATATTAATTTAGCGTAAGAAACTTTTTTTTAATATTTTAAGACTATTTATTACCATGACCCTTAGATAATTTTCACGAAGCTAAAATATATTCGTTGCAATCATTAAACATTCCTTAATTATAATTTTCATTTCAAATCCGTTTCATTGCCTTCCAACAAAACATGTTCCATCTCACGATCGTGAGAACGAGGGCACTTTTAATCCGGGAGTGTCTACTGTCTCGGGACACTTCCCCCCAGGGACCTCCTGCATTTGGCATTTTTTTCAAAGTCCTCGTTTGAGTTGTTTCTGCTCTGGAGAACGGGGAGATCGTCAATCGATGTTCGCCGGTTGCCGGGCTGACGATGCCATGGAGTCGTGGACTTCCCACTTGACAGAGTGGTCCCACGTGAAGGCGAACATCTCCCGCTCCACTTCCTTATTGTAATAAACGGGAACATTATTTCGTGTAGGTGGGAGACCTATGCATACCTGTCAATCCCTTATCAGTGCCCTACCTTATTACAGACCAATTCAGACCTGATTGGTCACCCCATGCCCCTTATAAATCTCAACGTTCATCCTACAAAGTACCATCGCAAGGGAGAAACTCAAACAAATAGACAAAACAAAATTGCTCGTATTCAAACGGCTGTGGACCTGAAAACTCAACTTCCCTGTACAAGAATACGGGATAAACCGTATGGGTTGACAGGTATGCCGATGCACCAGGCGGAAATCGTACCGATGCATGGGAGGGAGATAACTCAAAGTGCATACAGAAGACTGGTTCACATGTCTGCTGCTGTTGTTGTACTGCCATCTGCTGGCCACCGACTCGAAGTGCAGCTGCTTAGCAGGTTTCACAAATCCCTATCGCAGCTGTGCGGCTCTGAAAGTGGCTTGCGACGTTTAAAGCTCCGACAAAGATGAGACAAAGAGCCCCCGTATAGCCTCAACAGACTGTAGGGGCAAGTGCTGTTATCGAGCACCTATGAAGACCGCCATGGCACACGAGAGGCTGGGTGGCCAGCACCACGCACGGCCGCCTTTGTCTCCCCAGTGGCGAAGTTTTTGCACATCGCACCAGGTACTCATTTAAGGCCGAGTCGACCTAGGGGAGGACCAGTACCGATTCAGATAAAACTCTAGCATACACATTCACACACAAACAGCAACAGCCGCCATTCGCCACTAAGCGGCGGTAGAGTCACCACGGCGCTTGTGCCAGGCTAGGTGCACACACACTGACACTGTCACACATTGACACTCACACACTGACACCCTCACACACACTGACACCCTCACACCCACTGACACTCTCAAAACAACCGAACATTCTCCACCCTTCTTTGTTGATTTTATGAGCCTCCCCCACATAAAGCCCCATCTTGACAATGGCAAGTCCAGTCAACTCTAAGTCCTCCAATCCAACATTAGCTCATCACATCTCTAGCTCATGCAGTGACTGCTTTGGCTTCCTATATTCAGCCAAACAGAAGCTGCTTGGGCATACGGTGACTGGGCTTGTAGGCGCTTTGAGGATCCTAGGATGGAATGTGCATTATCAATTTGAATTATTATCATGACCCATCCTATGGATCCTCGCCTGCTTAAGGAGCCTGCTGATGCTCCAATGTCTAGATATTTCAAGGATTTGTGAGCTTCTCACATAATCCAATATGAATATACCCAGAAAGGAGCATAGGCAGGCCAGCCTGTATATATCAAGTCAATGCAAGCGTCCTGGTAAAGGGGTCCATATTTTGTAAGTAGACAGAATAGAGGATATTATTGTGGCTGAGAAGCCACAGGCCTGAGTTAGAGGCCAGGCAACTTCCACACAATGTTACATTGTTACGTATCCGATTAAACATTGTCACTAGACTGATTGTAAGAGGCCTCCATTGCAAAACCACAGCTCGCCAAGTGCACCCGATTACCCACCTGTCGGCTTACATGGCATAGCTGATGAGTAGGGAGCCACGTCAAGCCTTCTATCTGTATAAGATGGAAATTATTCTGGGACAACCATGGAAGGGTTCTCTATGTGATCAGAAAATATGTTAAATATTGTCGGGGCCAGAAAACATCTCTGCCGTACTCCCAAGGAAAGCAAAAAAATGGCTCCGACTGCTGGTTACTCAGCTTTGCCCGGGCCTGCCTACCATTATGAAGATCCCTAATGATCATGAATATCCCTAATGATCATGAAGATCCCTAATGATCATGAGCAAAGGGTCAGGGACCTGGAACAGATTCAACCAAACTCATGGTATCTTGATGGGGCGCCACGGTGGCGAGATGTTAATTACCTCGCCTGGTATGCAGGCGTGCGTGAGGTCAATCCCGACCCTGACGCCTGCTGTATATTTGGAGTTTGCATGTTTTCCCTTCGATCACGTGGAATTTTCTCCAGGTCCGCAGGTTTTTTTTTTTAAATGCGTTTAGATTATTTGGCTCATATAAATTTCCACATAAGCCACTTCGTTGAGAGATCATTAGTGGCCAGGTCGCTTCTGAAAAAGGCCTACATTGGTACAGTGGGCCTTACATGGTAAATTTTAAATCTTTTAGTTTTGTATCACAGGCCTTGACCTGGTCAATAAAACACAGTTGTAGTTTCTGTTGACATTCGCCAAACATGTGCTATTGCAGACACTATATATCAAGCATGTATACAGCGACACACATATGCTCATCCACACACTTATTCTCTCTCTCACACAGTCTTCCATGTTTTTTTTCAAAGGCAACGTCACAATGGCATCACTTCCGGTTTAGCACGTGGAAGAAACGATGTCACTATTTTGGGATCAATACAAAGCAACAACAAAAAACTTTTTGATTATTCAAACTTTCAGTTCCCACAAAGCTGACTGTTGGATTTGTAATAACTAAAATCGGGAAAGTATCCCTGAAACTTCGCGTTCAGTTGACGACATTGAGAGTAAGGGGCCATGCAATTGGGAGGGCACTGCCCCTCCTCCCAACAGGCCCCTCCTCCCCACAAGCCCCTCCCCCTCACAAGCCCCTCCCCCCACTCTACAACATGACAGACGAGACAAACACACTTCAGCCCTTCCCTTATAAACCGGTGTATATTAACAACAGGGTCGGTGGAAAAGGGGTGTTTTGACTTAATTTCAATAGTTAAAACTCCGTTTCATTTTTTTCCCCGAAGGATATGGATTCGCATTTACGTGGCACTGAAATCCCTCCGCATCTCAACCATCCCAATGCCTCTGGTTGAAGTCTAGCCTAGGGGACCCACCAGTGGCAGCTGTCCCCGTACAGCACGAAGTGAACGCAGCACTGACTCACGAATGTTAATTAGTCTTACCAGCAGGTGGTGATGTTCCCGACGGTATGTCCAATTAAAAAAGTATGGCCACCAGCTTCCTCGTGGTAAAATAAAAACAAATTCCTATATTACTGTTGGTAAAAAAGGTCATTGCAATCTAGATGATGTTCAAAGACAATGACGCTCAGGCAAGAGACGATGTAGCCAAGGGGATGGGAAACCAGGGGGTTAGCATGCAACCGTGATTCTACGAAATTGTTGAAATTCTGGGGTCAAGAATTCAGTTTCCTCTTCCGGTCTCGTTTCCCCCCCCCCCCCTATCTGATTTCTTTTCTCCGCAAGCCTAAATGTAACGGCATTTAATTTGAATATCAATTGGGCCAATTGTCTGACAACAAATGCTTACACGCACACGTCGATGCATGCACATCATGAGCGTGAAAGGTGTCTTTCATCGACGAATCGACGATGCATCGTTCGGTGCCGACTCAAGGGTCTTCGTTGACGTGCGAAGGACACCGCTCTGGGACACGGTTAGGGTACAAAATTTAGATTCAATTGATTTTTCTTTACAGCTAAAAAACTACTTTATATTTGTTTAACGCTCATTACAAATTCATGAACCAGAATTTCAAAGTAACAATGGTAGTATTTGACTTAACAAAAGCACATTGCAACCAGAAGTATATAAATTAAACCGAGTGCTTCGCATAGGCCACCTCGTGTCTTATTGGATGCTGTGTCTCATTGCTGTCAAGCGATTATTCCGTGAAATATGGAGGCCCTGAATTACGATAAATTAAAGGAGACGTGTCATGCCCTTATTAGGTTATCCTGGGCATGTGCCTGCCCATAAAAGGAGTTATGGGATCGAGCACCGGGTCCAGGTGTTGTGGCTTTGAGGGTGGGAGTGAGCATGGGTTGGAGGTGTCGCGGTTGTTTGTAATTGATGCGATGATTGAACATGTTGAGATTTTAAAATCGATGGTCGACGTTGGTTGGATGTCGTGTGGCATTGCTTGCCACTGGTTAGATTCGGCTCGCGCACGCATAATGCCTCCATATTTCACGGACTCATTCTATCGGAACCACAGATCCACCAATACATAAATGCCTACCACATTTAACATTATTGTTATGCATATTGAACTTTATCAGCATTATTGTAACCCCCAACATCATCATCATAGTATACAATTCCTAATTCTGATCTCAATGCATCATATCCCAATTTTTTGTTAAAGATGTATGTTATGAATCAGTACTGTACAATAAATATAATTGCATCGAGTTCATACCCACTGAAATAAATGCCTGTAAAGCAGGTACATTCAAGAGTTCCGTGGGATTGTTAAGAAAGTACATGTTGGAACGTTAAAGCAATAATTGTAGTCAATTTAAGACAGAGTCAAGCAAATGTAATGTCGAAGCAATTTTGCTTCAAAACATCAATGCATTTACTCTTTTCATATTATAACTGCAGTATTTTAATACTGTAACCAGGTGATGATGATTTGGGGGTTGCCCTATGATTGGAGAGCTCAACTCAAAATGGGAAGGTTGCGAGTTTAAATGCTGGTCATGGGTCCAGTCAACAAATCATCCCTCCGGGATGATCAGTATCACTTTATGGGATGCCAACCGTGTCTAGCCATTGGAGAGGAATTTCCCTCGCCAAGGGAATGTGGAATTTCCATTGATGGCTCGGGCTGCCGATGAAGATGAGTACAGCTCAAATAGTCAGTCGTATGAGCAAGGAGGCACTTTGATTTTTACTATGATGTAAAGGTGCAGCCCTGTAATTACTTTCTCGTGGCACTGCTGATAGAAAGTCCTCCGCGAGAAGGGATTCTATAGGTGCCATCTAGAGGCCTACTCTTCTATACCGGCCAGGCACCTTACGAGAGGTGGGCTTCAACCACACTTCACCCCACTTGCACGCGCTACTGCCGATCCGACTTACCTGTGGTATACACATTTATACCGATGGGGTGGACAGAGGCGTGGGTGGGTGGGGGTGGGCATTTAAGAATCGTGAGCGTTGTTTAAAATGCCGGGCTGAGTGATCGAAGCGGCGGTGACCTCCGGATTGCACGGAACATCAAACCGAGTCTAAGAGTAGTTGCGCGCAAGTTGCTTTACGATGTCAATTTTCATAGTGTGCTGACTTGCACACAACGCCCGGTTATCTTGCATGCTATGCAGGTGATGTATATTATTAGCACGAATGTATGTTATGCATACTGTAGGTGAAGCTTGATGTGTACATATATGCATGAGCTAGGTAATGCTGTCCGGGAATGACGGAGAGGTATGCAAAATTGTGTGCATGGTGATATATGCATTTTCATATTTACAAAATGCATTATTAAAAGGGGTTATTATGAAATGAGCGCCTCTTGTTTATTCACGCACGCGACACAAGCGTCCCGCGCGCGAACACACGGCGTGCACACGTGAATCGCAAACGTGCAGGGCAACGGGTTGCAGTGCAGCAAGTGGGTTACTGACATCTTTGTGCGGCAATGGGGTGTGAATGCGTGCATGGAGTTTCCCGGGGGAAACTCTGCGTCTTCCCTCGCATGCCGACAACGTTCAATTTGTGGGACAAATTAGCCGAGCGAGGCTCTCCTTGGACGCAGGAAGAAAAATCACGCATTCGCATGGATTCTACAACACACAAACTGAAAAGTCTTCAAGGAAGCATGGAGATTTGGATGCTTGGAATTACACTCAAAGACAAA